TATATTTATATATGAGAATGGTTTAGGAAAAGCCAAAAAGTCACATCTGATTTCCAGCTTCCTTCATGAATGCCAGTATTTTAAACTGATAACACTGGAATTGATCAAATTCCAAAGGTTAATTAGTCAGATAACATGCCAGGATTTACTGTCTGTTTATTTGATTAATAAAGATTAGTGTTGCCTACTGATAAAGGTGAAAAGTCTGTGTAATTGTTACCTTTACCAAAATATCTCACAAACCACTGAACAGGTTTAGAAAGTATTCACTAAATACTGTTTGTATCGACAACAAATTATCTTTTCAAGCAAACTCAACAGAAGATGATTGCTGCAGCCAACTGAACCTAAAAAAACACATAAATGGCTAAACTTTAATCTGGTAGTAGCTGATGGTCATCCACAACACATACTCCAAGCATTAACAGATAACATGACATATTGCAATACTGCATGAGATCCTGCATGAATGGCTATAACTTATTAATTCCACCATAGAGGATGATCTTGGTTTCAAACTTCAGAATAAAAGGTGAGAAATATGTATTCCTCCAAAGAGTGCTAAGCTTGTAATTTGTGTTATTTCCTGTGATAAATCAGTTTCCTGCATTTTCAGCATTTTTGCAAAACAAGGACAGTCAGGAAGTAAAAGTTTTTGATTTAATGCGCACAGACTTAATATATTTTTAGCTTCAGCACAGATTTTGTGTTGCCAGCAGACATGATGTGGTCCTTATTTTTAGCATGTTGCCCACAGGCAAAAAATTCTACCTTCATGTAGAAGGCAATAAAGTAAGTATTAAAATAGATTCCAGCCCATTACAGCAATGGTTATTTACCAATTCAGCACAATTCTTGAGGATATTGTGTCACAGGTGCTATGTTTTTTTTTTTTGCCTGCAGCTGCACAGCTACATGTCAAAATAGTGTTTTTCTTCATGTTAAAAATTACCTGAATGACCTCTTTTCACCAATGCTTTATTAAAGCTCTGAGAAAAACTACAATACAAGTGAAACTGTAAAACATTTGTCACCCTAGAAACATTAATTTAGAAAATTTACAGTGTTAATTTAGATATTTTTCCAAAACGATACAGGAAATGTGTCACGTGTATAACTACATTACTTAAGTCAGTTTTTGGAGGATTTGTAACTTTACCAAGTTTTTTTAATTGTAACTTTTACTTTTATTTTGCTACATTCAAAACCTTAAAAAATATATCTTTACTTAAAATTTATACACCTAGTTATATGTTACAAATTTAAATTCGACCAAAACTCTTCTTGAAGAGTTGTTTATGCACTCTAAAAAATGAAGTGTTGAATTTACGTACAGTTATGTCAACTGCTTCCACTAAACCGAGTTGCGTAAATGTCAAGTAATTTACACATATTCTTTAAAAGAAAATGTGTAAAGTACTCAATGTACTCAACCGGTTGAAACTGGTTTAGGGTCATGACTGTAAAGATAATCCACAAACAGTTTGTTACAGTTCGTTTACTATCATGTACACATTATCTAAGCACAAAATACACGTGTAAACTTGTTGCATGCAGAGAAATGTTCCTGTTGTCTAAATGATCATATCATATAAACGTGTCAGTTATCCATGCACTATCATGTGTCTATACACAACAAACACTGCAGAAAGTGTTTAGGATAAACATGTAGATTTTTATGCTAAAATGTTTGTTTTTGTCAGACATAGAAATAATAAAAAACTGAGCTCAGAGTAAGGTTAAAAAAAAGTTGTAAGTTTCAGTCCAATGCAAAAGAAAATCTCAAAGTTTACAAACCTGAGAACTGAGCCTTGCGTGTCTCCAGTTGTTTTTCATTGTGATCACTCTAAAATTGTGTTTTAAGGTGATAATCAATAAATTTGTCCTTCATAATAATAATGTTTTGAGTTTGACCAGATTTTGCTCTTTTCCCCCTTTTACCAAAAACATGTTTTAAAAAAATCTGTACAGACACATTTTAGAACTTGTTTCTTCTTTTCTTTTTGTCAGACAAATCAGGAATCGTTGGTTACGTAAATCAAAGAAATGGTCACAAAAACCGTCTCAGTGGCACTCGCGTTGCTGCTGTTGGCATCTGCTGCCACCTTTGTGGGGGTCTTCTTTGGCGTGAAGAGGAGAGAGACGGGTTACCTGAAGGCAGCTGTGGCGGCAGATGCTGGTCCGTGTTCAGAGGTCGGCAGGTGGGAGTTTCTTTACAAAGCCTCGGCATCGGAACCGGTTTTATTTATGTTTTTCTCGGCCTGTGCAAAGTATTGACCTTACACTGTTTTTCTGTTTTTATTATTTTGACTACAGAGACATACTTTTAAAAGGAGGGTCTGCAGTCGATGCCTCTATAGCCACATTATTATGTGTTGGACTAATGAATGCTCACAGTATGGGGATAGGTGGAGGCCTTTTCCTTATGATCTTTGATGCAAAAACTGGTACAGCTTTACTCCGAAATGCATCCCAGACACAAACTCTATCCTTTACTGAACACAACAAATTTATCCCTGATGTTTTTTTTTATGTGTGACGTGTAACCAGGGAAAACTGAAGTCATTAATGCCAGAGAGACAGCACCCCGCAATGCAACAAGGGACATGTTTGGGAACAGTACAGATTTATCTCAGAAGGGTAGGGTTTAATCTCTGCTATCACACATTCATATGGAAGCTGTTGTCATTATTATCAAAGTTGTGATACAGAAAGAAAAGATTAGAATGTTTTCAAAAAGGGAACAAATATGGATTAGAACCTTCTGAGTTTGGATAAAACAGAACACCGGTTCCTGTTCCTGTTAAGATTTGTTCAACTGTTTCTTGGTCCATAGGAGGCTTATCCATCGCTGTACCAGGAGAGCTTCTAGGGTACAAGACGGCCCACGACCGTCACGGCAAACTGCAGTGGAAAGAATTGTTCCAGCCAAGCATTGAGCTCGCAGAAAAAGGATTTCCTCTGGGCAGAGCGCTCGCCACAGCTTTGTCCAAAAACAGAAACACCATCCGAAAAGACGAAGCTCTGTGGTGAGAAACGCTTCCCCCATCTTCACTCTCTGATCGCAGCTGTTTGAATTTCCTTCATCATCTCAAACAAAGTTTTCCTCTTTTTTTTTCAGTGAGGTGTTTTGTGGAAAAAATGGTGACATTCTAAAAGAAAACGAAACCATTAAATTTACCAAACTGGCAGAAACCTACAGAAAGATAGCTGAGAAGGGAGTTAAAGAGTTTTATGAGGGCGAAACGGCTGAGAATCTTGTCAGAGATATTCAGGCATCAGGTAGGATTCTTTAAGTATTATACCTTTTATTCACATATTCAACAAAACTTTTAAATACATTATAAACCACAAAAAATAATACATTTTATTGAAACTCACAGGAAACAATACTTGGTTGGGTACAATTTAATGTTTGGCGTCACAGCTAATTAAAGTTATCAAACACACAAATGACTTCATTGGTTTTACAGATATTGAGCTAAAACTTGTGTTAATAGCTGAGCAGCATTTTTCCCATCAAGAGACACGCTTAAAAATGCAATATAGTTTTTTTTTTTGCAGTAGGAAGAAAATAATTGGCACTTTGACTGTTGAACAAATTTACAAGTAAATACTCCGTCAAATTGTCCCTTTACTTGTAAGAAACTAAACACAAAAAGTAAGGAAATTTGTGTTTGGTAGATAATTTCTTTGTTGTAACAATGCTTCTTGGCAATAGTTGTATATCATTGAAAGCCTGTTAATTTATCTTTCAAATGGTGCCACATTTGTAAGGAACATGCATTTGAGAGATGAGCAGTAGAGCTGAGTATGTTAATTGCTCACCTGAAAAATTTGCCAAATTTCTCTGCCAAGCAGCTTATTTTGCTGTTGCTATGACGTGTTTTAAGCTTCTGGTACCTCCTGATGCTGCCAATCAGGTGCCTCGATTTATTACCAAGAAACATTGTTACAAAGAAAAAAAAAAAATCTACCAAACACAAGTTTCCTTACTTTTTGTGCTAAGGTTATTGGTCCCTGATTTTGGTCTCACTTTTAGTAAATATCCAACATTTGTGTTGTGGATTGCTCACTATGATTCAAAGAGGGAATTTAAAAAAATCTCTGCAAGAGGGAGCACAGTAGATATTTTATTCCTTTGCTTTGAACGTTTTTCTAACACTCCTGCAAAAAAAAGTAAAACTGTGCAACAGTTAGCAGCCTTAACAGTTTAAAAAAGTCTCGGTTTGTAAATCCGACCTGCACTGTTCAAAAACTGCGTCATATATAAAATGTATTTTTATACCTGCTTTAAGAGCCTTTTTTGAAAATGAAAGAGAATCTGTGTTGCTATTTCTGTTCATGTGCATTCACTGTGTTTGTCAATCCGTGTTTAGACGGCATCATCACAATGGAGGATCTGAAGAACTATGAGCCTGTCTTGGATGAAAATCCTTTAAGGGTGAATGTGGGGGAGTACACCATGGTTGTTCCCAATGCCCCCGCTAGCGGGCCTGTGCTATCACTGATATTAAACATCTTGAACGGTAAGCCTTGATGCTACGTCCAAAAAAAAAAAACAAACATCCTGAGTGGGAGGAAATCGGTCTGAGCTGCCTTCGAGTCACTCTCACAGAAAGCAGGCAGCTGTAAGCGACATATTTTGGTTACTGTGCAAGAAATTCACTCTTAAAAGGCTCTTTTGAGAAAATGTCACCCAAAATATCCAGAGTTATGCAAATGAAAACCTTAAAATGCTTCCCCCCCCCCTGTAATCGAAACTTTAAAAACAGTTGTAAAAATTGTGGGGTATTGGAAATGAGAAATGGAAAACAGTATTTAAAATGAATTGAACTTTTACAGTGCCTTATCAAGTCCACGTGGACCACAAGGTGCTATTTAAAGGAGGCCGTCACTGTAAAGTATTTACAACTTCTAATATAGTGAAGCTAAAATCACATTCCAGAGTTCTCTGGGCAACTATGGTCATTGTGTTTTATGGGGTTTAGATTTATTTCTGTGAATATTTACGAAGCTTTCAGACCATTGAGATTCATATTTCTTCCATACATTTTTCAGCTCATATCTCATTCCACAATTTTTGTGCTGTTTCAACAACTAATATATCCAAACACTTTTAGTACTTGAGCAATTTTTACTTTTTTGATTTTTAGCTTTTTCGTCAGTTTCTTCCCTCAATGAAAATGAATGGAGTTGTCTTCAACACCCTTAAAACCCTTCAAAATGTTCATAAAGCTTTACTGTATTTTTTTTTATCTTTGGTTCTACTTTTTTTTAACTCCTTCGGCTTCTATCTAGCTGTTTATTTTGTTTTGTTCTTTTTGGCTGATCTTCTGCTAATTTAAACTTTGCTGTGCTTCTTTCAGCTGCTTTCTGCCAACTTCAACTGCTTTTTGTGCTTTTAGCTTTTTTAGCTAATTCAAGATTTTTTCAGCTAATTTCACTTTTTTGTGGTAATTTCAGCTTATTCCTGCTTAATTCAGCAAACGTG